ATTTTAGGGGGTTAGGATTCCCCAGAAGGAGAAGAAATTCCAAGACCTTGGGGATAGTCCCTCAGCCAATCAGAAAGCACTCCAAAAACAACTAGTTCTTAAGAAAGCGCCCTAGAGGCCAAACCTGTTGCAACCAGCCTGGTTCAAGGATGGACTTCGACCTGGTAAAGGCTTTTCTCCACTGTGTTTCTTTAATAAGCTTATTGAATATGAACTGACACATCCCAAGTGTGGAGATAGCTGCCATTTTTTACCACAGGACCCATGAAGTGGGTGGAGTTAATATAACATGGACAAACAGGCGATGAGCTGTCCAGGAAGGGTGTAACTCAGATGAACCAGACCCATAGGAGCCCTGATGGTGAAGTATGGATCTTACCAGTGCCCATGTGCTACTAATGTGCATTGTGCCCACTTCTCTCTTGAGAAGTGTAATAAATGATTCTTCACTCACTCTAAGCTTAGTTTAATTTTTAACTAGAAGGCTGTATTTCTATAAGGTCTTGTTTCTAATACATAGAATCAACATGTCATAGATAACAGTTAAAACTGCAGATTTAAAAGAGCAGGCTTACCAAGTTCAGGGACCACCTTCTTTACCTTGAGCAGGATGTGCTGAACCTGGGTGATGCTTCCAGGCAAAGGTTGCCCCAGGGCCCAAGGCCATTGCCAATGGGGCCTATGCTGTAGCTGCTGCCCCTCCCACCTCCTTCCCTTCCCAGGTGGGGGAGGGTGAAATCAAAGGTGAGGGATAAAGGGTGAAACTCTCTTCTCCTATGAGAGGGGTTAACAGATACCCTCTTGACTCAAGGGAAGGGAGTGACCAGGTTGTACACGTATTTCAAAAATTTTTAATGATCAATCACAAAACCTCCAGAATATGCCAAGATAGTTTTAGCTGTTCTAACTTTCCCTGTAACCTCCATGAAGGAGGATTCAGAGGTGCAGAGGGAAGGGAATAAGTAAGCCTCGGGGAACCAAAAAGCAACTGCAGTTTTCCCCAATTCCCTAGTGCCAAGGGAAAGGACAGAATTGAGCATACACTTCCTAATAAGTTGTCCGTCCTTGTCCTCTATGCTGTGGAAGGTGTACCCAGATCCATGGCCTTGAACTGAATGAGTGCAACAAGAGCATGAGAGCGTCAGGCAGAGTGTGAGACAGCCTCGTAACTGTCTGCCAGAACAGCACCTCCAATCCTTGGTGCTTGGAGAGCAACCCCAACTGCAGAGCAAGAAAGGAGGGAGGGGAGGCTTACATACCTTCCAGTCTTGGTGGAGAAGAACTTGGGGTTAGGCAGTTTTCCCATACAGGCCACCAAAATGATGCGGTTCAGGGGCTCAGGGGTCTTGGGACCCTAAAATCACAACACGTGGGTCCTGTCCAAAAGAATTTGACCAAGCTTTCTTTCAGCCAAAGACAAGGTTTATTAGAACATTGTCATGTTGGGCAGACTCTTAAGGAGTCTGAACATGAATAAGCAGGGGCTAGATTATAAGAATCTAAGCCCAGATTCATTTTTGTAGTCAAAACGTGCTGCACTCTGCAGAGACGCTGCTGTACAAGGGACGAGCAACACTAACAAATTGCTCAGGCTCTCCAGACCCTTCCTCACTCTGCAAATACTGGAATCTGCTGCTGCTGCTGTGCTTGGCTGCCACAGCCATGCTGCAGCCACGAGGGCACAGAGGCGGCTGTGGGGACTGTGATGGGGCTGCTCTCAGAGAGAGCCAGAGGATGAAGAGGGCTGAAAAAGGGAGCAACAGGCAAGGCGAGGATCTATGGGTGGCCCCTACTGGAAGCATTCAGAGGCTGCAGACAGTGCAGCTGTCCAAGCACAGCCGTGATGTCTCCTCCAGCCTTCTTTTCTTCACACCTATCCCACACTCCCCACCAAGAGCATTTTCCAATCTGGTTATCTCACCTGCCACAGGAAGCCTTCTCTAATTCTTCCTAGTTCTATCCTGTATATAGCATGCTTTGTATGGAGTTGTTTAAAAGGATTCCTTAGCAATGTTTTGAATCTCCAGTGCTTAGCACAGTGCCCAGCACATATCAGGCATGTATTACAAGTTAACTGTGCTGCCCCTTGTCCTGTCCTCATACAAATTCATCTCATGGGGTCAATCTCATATGCCAGCTCCTTCCTCACTTTCTCTTGGCATCCCAATCACACCAGCGTAACATGGCGACTTGCCAAGGATTTAACTGTTAGAGAAACAAAAGATGTCAATAAAGATCTATTCTTAAGAAATAAATATTCTCCCTCCTCCCCCACCCCCATCCTTTCTCAACACTCATCCCCCACTCCCTGCCAAGAGGACTCCTTTATTTGGTTTTTCACTCTGGTTCTAACTACAAATCAAGGATGGCTGCACATTACTCTCCTTTCTGAATTCTAAATCCTAGTCAAGCTGGTCTGGGTTTAATGTGCTATACATGGTATTCCATCTCCAGTGTGGGGCAGTAGAAAAAGTAGGGGATTGGATTTGAACAATTAGCACAGTCACTTCATAGACCTTGGAAAAATTTCTTCATCTTGTCCATTTTCTCATGTATAAAACAATGGGTCTGAAATCTAACTCCTCTTCTTCCTCCTTCTCCTCTTCATCTTCCTCCTTTCTCCTCTTCCTCCTCTCCATCTGCTTTTCTCCTTAAATAGCCTCTGGATACAGTCAATTAGGGTCTTGAGCTGTTTTTATTTTCTCACTCTACTTCTCTATCTCCTTCTGCCTCTCTCTGTCTCTCTGTCTGTCTGTCTCTCTCTGTTTTTCCCAAACCCCACTCTCTCTTTCATGAGAGCATCATCAATGAGGTGACACGGCTTGTAATTCTTCTTTAGAAAATGCTGAAGATGAATTTATGACCCAAACTGGTATCGCCCTTGAGGTCCGGCTTTTTCCACTTGGCAAGCGTATTAAACATTTGCCCACCTTTCAGGTTCTTTTTGCCTCCTTTCTATGACAATAAAATTTCATTGGATGAACTTTCATATGAAGTCATTGTATTATAGGTTGATTTAGTTTATAGTTAGTTCTGAAGTATCCTAGAACTTCTCTACAGTTTCTTCTAGATTTGAACTCAGGTCCTTCTGACTTCAAGGCCAGGTCTCTATCCACTCTACCTCCTAGCGGCCACACCTAGAAGCTTTGTAGAGGAAACTGTGGATACTCCGATTGCATGGGAATTTATACCCCAAAGTGCCCAGATCGCCTGTGTAGAGCCAGCAAGGAAGAAAACTGTGATTTCCCTGGTGCACAGGGCCAATCCAAAACATCACTTCATAGAGTACCCTTTTCATCAATGAATACATTCATGAACTTAAACAAATACTCATTAGGCTGCTACATGGAGAAAACACTGTGCAAAGAGCTGGAGATCCAAGCAGAGCTGGAAGATGGCCCCTGCTCTCCAGGAGCTCACCCTGCAGTAGGGGGAGATATCTCATACTGGAGACTTCAGCTGCAAGTTGGATGGAAAGGCTTCATGGTCCTAAAGGTGTGACAGCAAAGACATGGCAATTCTTCTTCATTGATGTAATTTCTTCCAATCAAATCATATCAATTTCTGAGGCTGAAACCATTTGCCAGTTCCAAGGATTTTGGTGGCTGGAACTTTCTTCAGGAGCTGTGGTAATTCTGCAGAGGGGAGAAAATATCTAACAACATTTACATAAATGCTAAGAAATGACTCCCTTAATGCAATGGAATACTATTGTGCTATAAGACATGATGAACAGGCTGACTTGAGAAAGACCCGGAAACACTTGCATGGTCTGATGCTGAGTGAAGTGAGCAGAACCAAGGGAACTTTGTACACAATAACAGCCACATTGTGTGATGACTAATATTGATAAACTTAACCCTTCTCAGCATTACAAGGATCCAAGACATGTCCAGAGCCCTCGTGATGGAGAATGCTATCCACATCCAAAGAAAGAACTATGGAAGTTGAATCGCTATCCTTTTTTTTTCTCATCTGTTGAGTTTTGTTTCCTCTTTCTGATGGTTCCTCCTATTGGTTTTAATTTTTACTTCTACCTTCACTAATGTAAAAATCTGTTTTATAGAAATGCAAATGTATAGCCTATATCTGATTGTGGGCCATCTTGGGGAGGGGGGGGGGAGGAAGGGGAAGAAAAATTTTAAAGTCAAAAGCATGTGGAAGTGATTGTTGATACATCAAAACAAATTAATAAAATTTAAAAAATTTAAAAAAGAAAAAAAACAGAAACGACTCCCTTCTGTTGCAATGACCCTAATGCCTACAAATTCCTTCCTGATGATTAGACAGTCATAGAAATCACTGTGAACCGTTAGTCAGAGTGTAATAAGAATTATGAGTGATGAGAGGTACTGCAGGCTAGAATGGAGTGTAACCCTGTTAAAGACACTGCACACATATGTGACTCAGCTCCAGGCTGGTCCCAGTCTGGTCCTGGGCTTTCTTGGCACCTTTGAGTTTTTCAGGGCTGCTGGGCAATTGGTAGTATCTAACACCACTGCAGTACCCATTCCCAGGATCCCAGAAGGGCAATGCTGCACTCACACAGCTGAGGGTTCAGGGATGTCCAAGAGGTAAGATCTCTGGGGCTGTCTGTTGGCAGAAGCCTCTCCCCTGAGCTGTTTTGCATGGCTCACTCCCAGCCCCTGAAGCTACTCAGGAGAGCAGCTATAAAAAGGCAGCTGGGGAGGAAGGTGCTGGGCAGCTGAGAGCTAAAGCACATGGACATGGGGTCCCAGGCTCACCTCCTCTTTTTCCTGTTGTTCTGGATCCCAGGTGAGTGAGGAAGAGTAGGGACAGCCCTGCCTTTTCTCCATCTGGGCAGAACTCAGAATGTGTATGATTCTGAGGGTTACAGAAAATGTGGCCCTTCACTGATGATCATGGGGGCAGAGCCCAGCACAGGAAGGTTTAACTCACAACATTGTCTGAGAGATTTCTCCTAATGTAAATATGGACTTGCATTTTTCTCACTCTTTACCTTGTGTTTGTGATTGCAGATGCCCGAGGGGCCATTGAGCTGACCCAGTCTCCAGCCTCCCTGTCTGTGTCTCCAGGAGAGAAAGTGACCATGTCCTGCACAGCCAGTCAGGGCATTAGCAATTACCTACACTGGTACCAACAGAAACCAGGCCAGGCTCCTAGGCTCCTCATTAGATACGCTTCCACCCTGCATGGTGGGGTCCCCTCGAGGTTCAGTGGCAGTGGCTCTGGGACAGATTTCTCCCTCACAATCAGCAGTGTGGAGGCTGAGGATGCTGCAGTCTACTACTGTCAGTATGACTATAATTATGCCCCACAGTGCTACAGCTCTGAACAAAAACCTGCCCAGGCAGCAGCTGAGGGAGGCATCACTGCCCAGGGGCTTCTCCTTCCCCAGCAGCTGGGTCTGGGGCAGCTTGGCTGGGCTCCCTCAGGGGGAGATTTCTAGGCCTCAAAAGACCCATAAGCTGTGATGAAATCTGACCTTGATTTCCCAGAAAAGAATCACAGAGTGCCATAATCTCAATGATTCAATGACACCCCAAAGCTGAGTTTCTCTAACCATACGTGACCAAGATTCCCTTTTCCAAATCCTCAGTAAGTATTCTTAAAGACATTGCTTGTAGACCTCCAAGGCAGCAGCACTAGCTACCAAGGAGATGCAGTGGAGACAGGATAGTTATGTAAGACACCTGGCCTTCAATCACTGGGTAAAAGGGCAGTAACTGCTCTATTTGTAAATCACTTAGCACAGTGCCTGCCACACAGTAGGGGCTTAGGAAAGGCTTGTTTTCTTCCATAGGTTCTTGTCCTTACTTCAAGTATTAAATCTGCCTCTCTTCAGCATCTCCCCATTGCAGGAGTTTCTGCCTCTGGTGCCAAGCAGAACAAGCCACGCACCTCGATCCTGTGATCAACCTTTGAAGGCTTGAAGGTCACCCTGCAATCCATCCTGGTGCCCCATGTTCTTGTGCACAACTAATTCATCTCGCCACTAGAACCAGTATCCTATACTAACTTTGAAGGGATAAGACCAGCTTAACCTTCTATCTCGAATGCACATTGATGAGGCGGAGACAAGATGGAAGCAACTCCGTCTATTTTTAGCAAAGCACTTCCTTATATAGTAAAATAACAGGAACTGTTCCTCAAGTTACAATGACGCATAGCCAATGCTGTGCTCAAGGACAGTGCATGCACATCCTGTGCATTTATCTGACTCCAATCCCAGAATAGACTGCTAATGACCATACAATAACTAGGGGAATTAAAGACTGTTACAGATCCATACAATGGAGAACCGAACCAGGTGACCTTTGCTCAAAAATCAGACACCTCTTGAACAGCCTGTGGCCCTCTACATCCTTATAGATCCCTAACACCATGTATGTTCTGCAGGCCAAGCATCCCTGCTTCCTGCCACTGATCTTTTTCACTCCAACCCTACACCATCTGGACTGTTTCTCTGGCTGCCTTCCATAATTTCGTGGTTCCTCCTACCATGGGGCACCTGGAACTGGAAAAGACAAAATAAAACTATTCTAGAGATGACCTGCCCAAGGGAAGAATGTAACACACTGGGTTCAACTAAAGCATGGCACCATAAGATGTTGCTGTCTTTCTTTAGGACAGGGTAAAATACACATTGGGATCTCTTCCCTCTAATTGTGTAGATGACTCAGCCATGTCCACTCAGCCCATTCAGGCAGTAAAGTGACTTTCCTAAAGTGCAGGTCTCATCTTATAACCATCCTCCTCATCCCCAACTCAATAAACTCCAGGGCCAGCCTTCTCTCATGCCTCTTAATCCCAGTGCCTTCCCTCTTTAATTACTTCCAGTTTATCCAGTCTGTAGTGTGCTTTATATAGATTTATTTACATTTCATCTCCCCTGTTAGACTGTAAGTGCCTTGAGGGCAGAGCTTCTTTTGCCTCATTTTGAACATCCCGTGCTTAGCTCAGGGCCTAGCACACATTGAGCACTTTCTACATGATAACTGATTGATGGATTGATTGATCAGATGAAATTAATCTCACGTGCAAGGCCTTTCCTCACTTTTTCTTGGCATCACAATCACACCAGTGTAACATGGACACTTAGCCAAGAACTTCAGTGTTATAGAAACAAAAAGTGTCAATAAACATCTGTTTTTTAAAACATGGGTGTTCTCCCTTCCCTCCCCCTCCTTTCTTTTTCCATACCCATCCCTCACTCCCCACCAAGAGGACCCATTTCTTTGGTTCTTTACAATCTGGTTCTAACCCATTAATCAAGGATTGTTGCCCATTACTACCCCTTTATGCATTCTAAATTCTACTCAAGCTGGTCTAGGTGCAATGTCCTATACATGGCATTCCATCTCCAGGGTGGGGCAGTGGAAAAGGGGAGAGGGGATTTGAAGGTAAGGGAACTGGATTCGAATGAGTAACACGTCCACTTATTAGACTTTGGGCAAATTTCTTCATCTTGTCAATTTCCTCATCTCTAAAATACCGGCAGCTGAATTACAACTCCTCCTCCTCCTCTTCCTTCTTCTCTCCATCTGCCTTGATCCCTAAATAGCCTCTGGACACAGTCAAATATTGTCTTCAGTTGGTTTTTTCCTTAATCTGCTTCTCTCTCTCTCTCTCTCTCTCTCTCTCTCTCTCTCTCTGTGTTATGAGAGCTTTATCAATGAGGTGATATGACTCCTACTTCTTCTTCACAAACTTCTGCAAATGAACTTAGAATCCAAACCGTTTTTTCCATTCACTTCCACCTTTGTCTGCTTGGCAAGTAAATGAAATATTTCTCGACTTTTTAGGTGCTTTTTACTCTCTTTTGGTTTTCTTCATATGACAATAGAGTTTCATAGATCTAACTTTTATATGAAGCCATTGCAAATGATGCCTTTGTCATTTTCTGCCATCTGATTTTTAAGTGGCAATAACTCATTTAACTGTGTCAAGATGGAATTGTTTTAAATGCATGTCTCACCTTTCAACTTTGCTCAGACCAATCAGTAGTCTGACTATGCAGAGGACGATATGGGAATAAGTCTGACATCAATAATTTTCTGTCTATGAAAGTATGAACAATACCTTAGTCTTGTGACTTTACTTGCTGCTTCCCAATATCCTGGTAGAGTAAGAGTTCTGCTCCTGGAGCAAAAGAGACAAACGTCCGCTGGAGGCTGAGGAGGAGAGGACTGTGTGAAGGCCCGGGCCAGGATGTGTCTGGGAGCAAAGGCCTCTCTTCCTGGG